ACTGCAGTTTACTAAGTTTATTTTTACATAGGAATCAAATGGACGGGTTCAAATTCAATTGGTGCAATGCTCTTGTTTAGTTATATATAATAATGTATAATATAGTATAAATGTATCAATAAACCCAAAAAAGTGCAAGTTTCGTTTGCGGTATCGTAGTTTGAAAGCAAATTCTTTGACAAAAGGCATGTCATTTTTCAAATGATTGAATTATTATTTTTTTTCTTTTCATTTTTACCGCGTTTCTTGTTTTTATTCACAACGGGCCAAATGGAACTGTGGTCGACGGAACGGAGTATTGCGCTTACAGTGATCCTATCATTTGAGATTATTGAACGAAAAAAATGTTGCTTTCTACAAAAATCTATTCTCGGCATGTTATAGGCTATTCTAAAGGTACATCGACATCATCAGGTATCTATACATGTATGTTAGAAAAAAATATTGCCATAGCCTCTCGTTACTGATTGAACGGAGATGCGAACGAATGCAAAACCTTTACGTTATTGATAGGCTGGACCTGTAGGCGAATAGCATGCATTTATTTTTTCGACTCTCTCCTGCATTTTTTACCTTGGCTCCTCCATACACGTATGTATGTATATATCGCAGATAAATAGTACTGGCTATCTTCCACAATAGTTACGCATAGATACCTTAGCATGTGATATAGGTATATGTATAGACGTTTGACGTACATATCTTTAACCCTCGATTGTCACACTTCATTTCGGCCATGTTATTTTCATACTGGGTTAAAAATAACCCATATAGATTTTCAAACGCATGTAATTGTAAAGTTGTTTAGTATAATTGCGAAAATAAAATTTGCCGATAAAGTTCGAGACGTGTACAATGTTTTCCAATAGTCAAAGTTCCAAAAAGCATGTAATAACATGTGTAAAAAAAATTCGAGAAAAATATTACACGATAAGAAGATTATTTCACGAGAAAATTACGAATTCGTGTTTTTCAAGATTCTTTGCAAAAAAATGAAAACAACAATGAGGAACGAGAAATTCAAAAAATGTCACGTGCGTCAATTCTTCATTCATAAAATATTTTGCTCAATGTCCATTTTTATTTTCTCTTATTTTCTTTTTCCTCTTCTTATCTCTGTATATATGGTATACGTGTCTCGTTCCCTCCAACGCATAATTATTCCTTGTTTTTTCTCTCACTGACGCAAACTCCACTCGGCAACTCAAAGTGGCTGAATTAAACATGAAAGCCTCGGCCGGTTTCGACTTCGCGCTTTTCAAACCACCCACCCGGTATGTTTTAACTGAGAAAAGGCATAGTGGGTAGATAAAAAGGACGGTCGTTTGTACTAGCGAGCATCACCATACTTCTGTCTACAAGTTTGCACGTAATCTCGAAGCAATGCACGTGGTATACCAAAGATACATCGAGGACATTCTCGTTGACCCGTACATGAAAAACCATCCCCTGGAATATACAGGGGTAAATAAATCCTGTTCGAGAGCAATCGACAGATCACGGAGTATTACGTGACATAGGTAGATTCGCTTGACGTATATGTAGTATGTGCATATCTATTCATTCATATCTTTATATTCTCTTAGAAAAGCATAAAATCCACATAACGCTGATTAGAGATACACGCATAAGATATTTATAGGCTATACTTTCTGTCTAAAGACAACGTCATCAGAGTTTTACCACATAAATAAAGTATAACGCAAGAAAGCACGGCATTTCGTGAGATAGAAGTTAAAAAAAATTTAAAGTAACGTGAAAAATTGCCCTACCCTTTAACGATCGATTTTTATATCCACTCTCATCACTCCACCCAAACCCTCCCTTGGTACATACGTTAACGCGTCACTTTGTATGTATGATTCTAACAAGGAAGGTGCATTAGTGGTCGTCCTTCGATTTCGTTCGTTTTTAAATATGTTATTGTCCATAAAAAATACGAGAGACGTATTTTTTTATTAGTCGAAAAACGGTTTTGAAATATCTAAATGGGAGCATTTGGAGAATAATCCTCATGGCGAATAATGAAAAATGCATTTTGATCTGTTCTGGTGGGGTGATTGTATAAAAATTTATAGGGGTTGAAAAGTCCGAAATTTTTATTACAAAAACTCTCGATTCGATTTTAACGAAACCAATTGCATTTGAAATTATTTTAAAAAAGTAGGAGATACATATTTTTGCATTTTTCGAAAAACGACGTTTAAGGGGTGAACCACCCCTATACCCAAATTCTCATTAAAGCGGCACTATCTTGCTTTAATTTGACTTTCCAATTATTAGAAAGATCTTTTATGTATTAATTAAGAAACTTCAGCGTTTCAATAGCGTTCGGTTGTATGTAACAAAACCACCCCTTCGCTTCCTGACGCCCTTCTGGCGGGATTCCTCGTACGCTCGCCAGGTCTTCAGATTTCGTGTATCCTAAGGATTTTGGAGATCACTGAAACCGATTTTCGACTTAAACTTTTTCAATTCACAATGCCAGATACTGTCAAAATGCGAATTTTTTAAATGTTATCGTAAATGTAATTTTTGCGAATTTCTTTTAATAAACTAACTGTGTTTAGTTAATTTGCTTACTTCGAAATGTATTAAAAGTGAAAATACATATAAACAAAATATCAGCAATACGTAAAGCTGTAGTTATCATTTTTGGATCTAAGTTCATCCGCTTACTGAAATTCTTTGAAGTGAAGCTATTTTCAAAATGAGGAATGAGACCGTATCTGTCAGTGATAAATAAGTGGATGAACTTATGACACAAAAATGATATCAGTTTCGAAAAACGCAAAAACATGTATCTCCTACTGTTTTTAGTACTTTCAAATGCAATTCTTTTCATCGAAATCGAAACGATAGCTTTTTTGTTATAAAAATTTCGCACTTTTCTACCCCACCAGAACCAACCAAAGTGTATATTTCATTATTCCCCAGAGGATTATTCCCCAATTGCTCCCATTTAAATGTCTTGACTGAAAGTATGCGAAACTGCGAAGACCGCCCTCGAGGAACGCAATTTTGGGAGTTGATTTTGCCCCCTAAAACCGTTTTTCGGCCGAAAAAAGAACGTGTAACTCTTAGATTTTGATGGAGAATAACATATTTTAAAACGAACGACATCGGGGGGGACACCTGAGGTACCATCCTTATAGGGATCACTTTGACAAGGGTGAGCGTGCTCTCGAGAACCATTTGACATCTGTATCATCCGAATGTAGTCCTACTGTAGAAATCAAATGAATAAGGTAACTTCAGATGGTGCGTTAGTCATAAATGACCCTATGCATGCGAATTACCTTGAAGTGGTACGTATGGGCTGAATCACCCGGTATATAAACTGTAGTTAACATACGAGACAATAAAAAATTTGTCGCACGTGGCGCATATACTCATTTCAGACTTTCAGGACATGTATGTACGAACTCATAGTGATGAGATGGATGAGTGATTAGAAAATCAAAGAACAGAATGAAAAATTGAGATAAAGACAGAGAGAGGCGGTGGGGAGACCAAACAGTGTTACGGATAATTTGCTAGTAAAGTGGATTTAGCTCAACTATGAGAAATTTGGATTCGAATTATTCCATTTACTCTCAACTCAGCTTCAGTCTAGGAGGAATTATTCGTAAATTAATTTCTATACCACTGAGCACTGAGACACCTAATAAACTGTAGAATGTTCCAGAAATATTACATTGTCTCACATATTAAATTAATATTATTAATTAAACGTACAATATAACGACCTACCTGAGTTTAACGAACAACTTTGAAAATCGTGACACACAGCTTCAAAATTTGTTTTCTTCTAACGGCACAGACCGAGAGTGCAATTTGAGTATACCAATCATAAGCGATGTCGAATGAATATTTATTGAGTTACCGTCAGACTATATCGTATTTTTAAAATCAACCAGTCAAAGTCATAGAATTTACTGAAATAAATATTTTTGATTGAAGGTATATAAAAGCATGTAAACTGATCTGATTTTCTTCTGGAGCCTTGAAGTTATCCATAAAATGTCTGACGTACTATAAAATTAAAATCGTATTCCACTAAGGACAATTATCGAAAGTGTCCCTAAAGTATTCGCAGTTTTTATCGCTTCGCTTCTACGGCAAATGTATTCCACCTTCGATCCTTTGCGAGTCGCTTGGCAGGCGCGTCGCCAACTTGGCGAAAATTGAATAGATAGCACGGCGGCGGTAAGAGCGCTGCCAACTTTTCTAGAATACCTCTGAAAAGACTAACCAGGGAGCCTTGTCTTTTTGTCTGGATCTTTTTCCTCCCTTCTTATTTTCGCTATCCTTCTCGTTCCCGTTTATTTGACTCTCACTCGCCGAAAACATTCGTTAGCTACTTAACGGAAGTCGTAACTAGTGGTTAAAGAATAAAAATTTATCTTCGTAAATCTTCGATCACGTAAATACAACTTTTGTGTTGGTATTACTGTTTCTTTTCTTTTTTCCTTTTGGGAGGAGATAGCCGAACGTGTCCGCGATGAATTTACGAATATGTAATATATTATATGATATCGTAATCATTAATCATCTATTTGAATAGTATTCTAGTTTGTCTTCTCTAGCGTGTCGATGCGTATTTTTCCAAGCATCATCTGCGCCCAAAGTAATTTATACGTCTGCCTAGGGGGGGGGGGATATCAGAGCAAGATAAATTCACGATATTAATTCGTATTTTTATGTTTTTAGTTAGCAACAAGATTTGGATTAAAAAACCTCAAGGTTTTAGGAAGCCACCCGATGAAATTACATCTCTCAACACCATCCATCATTACTTTAACAGTTGAACCAGCTCATAATGGATGGAAAAGGTGAATCTAGATGCAATAACTTACCATTGTGAGATCACCAAAAGAAAGTATTTCTATAATTATATATCATCTTAGTATATAATTAACGAGTGTATATGTTTGGATAACTAGTAATTAAGGAAATATTCTATAATTGTTTTAACAGTCACTGATGTGCTTTATATATATTTATATGTTATTCTCCTATATACTAGATATAGATACATCGATTTATTTCATATTTAATATTTAACGACCCTTTATAATGATAATAATTAAATAAATATAAAAAGTAAAATTGTAGTATTATAGTTAATAAATGATTATATTAAATTTGCTTCATTAAGAAAGCTTGAGGAAAGCAGAATTGAGGTAACAGCATTTCCGCTGGTAAGACACTACGAAAATAGGGATCGGTGGTATATACTGTGTCACCTTGAATACTTTGCGCAAATGATTGCAACCAAAAGAAATATCGGTTCGGTTACGGTGTTCACAATGGGTAAAAGGGTTTCAGGTTTTTCATTCATCATTTATGGGTTACAATTTTCAGTTTCGATTTTCGAAATTAATAGATTTTGGTTTCGGTTTTAAAGAGTGATAGTTTTTGGTAATGACTTTATTATTTTCTGATCTTTATGTTGAGTGTGTTTCTACGAGAGATAAGTAGGGAGATTGCCAGTAGACTGATTTTCATGAAACCAATTTTGTTTGGGCATCGACGCGCCATCTCAGCGGAGAGCCTTCGCACCATACCCACGCTTTTGATTGACCGAGTATAAATAGATGTACTACGCGTGAGATTCTTCGTGAGCTCCGTGAGACGCATGGATTAACACCGGGTGACATTCTAAAGCATGTGTATTCTGGTGTTGACGCGCCATCTGGAGGGGGAGCCTCGAAACTTACTCACGTTTTCGATTGGTCGAGTGTATTTTTCAACACTTCACCAAACCCCAAACGTGAGTAATAACCGAAATATGATTTCTGACTTCTTTACCATAGTGACGCATACGTTACTACGCAGCACACGCGTATGGTACTATGGTTAGCGCACGGGAGTCTCGGGTTCAAGATTTCCTCCCTCATTACCTTTCTTCTATACTGATTCGCTTACTATGCTTATTGGTGTTATTAATTACCTTAGGATTTAATAAATACATGATTATACTGTACTGCGTACATCTTATTATATTATATACATACGATAAATATTATAGATAAATCAGCGAACGTTTCTTCCTCCCAAAAACTCGTGAATGACAAACCTGGCAGATGAACATAAGCACAAATAGGAAATGAGTATTTAGATGGAAAATGCACTGGCCTGAGCAGGCATGTGGGTTCTCACAGCCATGAGATTCCAGATTGGCGGCCGAGTATTTTTTTTCCCCTCTTTAATCAGGTCACGCTGCGACTACGAGTATATTGAAAAATGTCAGTAGTGCAGAAACGTCCACTCGTCAGGTGGCGCGTCGACGCCAAAATAAAACTTGGACCTTGAAAATCAGCACATTGACAGTCTCCTTGTTCATCTTTGCCGCTAGTAGTAGAACAAATATTCAAACCTTTGCGATTCACGAAAGCTGGATATTCCGCGAAAAGAAGGAGAAAGTTAGGTGCACAGAAATATTGAGACATCGGAACCTTGAATAAAGCTTTCCAAAGGATGGAAATCAGAAATCGTGGCCAAGATTATTTAGAAGTATTGGAAGTTGTCCAGAATTGTGTGCGCACAAATTCGTCGCGCAGGACTCAGCTAGTGGGGGGAGCGCTTAAAGCAGTGCCTGAACTCGAAGCGCTCACTCTTCCTCGAGCTTGGAAATCTCTTGGAAGCACCGCTCTTAACTATTTTCAACCTTCTTCTTTTTCTATATTTATTTTTTCCTTATTTCTTTATCTTTCATTCTTTACTTTCTTACTTTTCTAATACTTGACTTCTTTATTTCTATTCTTCCTTTTTGTCTTCTCGTTTCACTTCGTTCCCTCTCACTTTGCATTGTGCTTGTCTTACTTGTCCTATTCCCTTGGTCGGGTCGAGCATATTCATTCAAGTAGTCATATAAAGGTAGTCCACCCTGTTTAGAGTAGCATATTAGACCATGGTGTCGGGGGTTCGGTTCCTGCTTTGCGCGCGTCTCTAACGAGTCTCTTGATAAAATGTGACATAACTTAGTTGTGTAAAAACAGAAAACTATTTCACCAACTTGTACAATTTCCAAGGATATATTGAATAGTAAATACAATAAAATTCTGTACGGGGCGACACATTACAATAATGGATAGCCGTTAAAATTGCAAATATGTAAATACATGAAAGTGATCATAGCCGCTATTCTTGAAATCTTTCCTAAATCGTGGATTACCGCATTTGTCTAGCTCAATTGTTCTACCTCTGGATGGTTACGTTACATTATTCCCTAAAATTCTGCGTACGTATAATGGAAAAAAAGTCTCAAGTCCCCAGGTACAGGGTAAACCTCTCAAAGAGGAACCTCAAGGATGAATATGAGAAGATTGGCCAAATAATAAAAAACGCTGAAGATTCAAGTAGAAAGCGCTGAAATATGTATAAACTCTAGAGGGGATGAGCAAGGCGCGTCTGGATCAAGCCGGCTGAGACCTAAATTATACATTCAGAACTGAGTCTTCACGATCAGTGTCAGTCCGTCTAACATAAGTACGGACGGCTTGCACTTATGAACCTAACGAGACTTAACAGGGATTTTAACGTGCTACCTGCTATCAGTCACAAACACAAAACAATAGACTAGAATGAAACAGAGTTGAGTGCAAGCAAAATAATTAAATGTAAGAGACCAGGTTTACTGCTGGAGTAGACCGAATTAACCATTGATTCATTCTGCAGCAAATGCATCCAATAGGGGGCTAGGTCTATTACCTACAAGATCTAAAATGCACTTATACTCCAAGTCAAGTTAATCAAAGGTTGTTGGAGTAGACGAGATTTCACCTAGAGCGTGTCCATTGCCCTTATGGCCTATGAACAAGCTTCAGGAATCTTTACCAAATTTGAATTCATAAGCGAATTAACAAAATAATATCACAGGCTATGACTATGAAGTTACAGTTCAGTAAAAAAATTGTAAAAATATATACAGGGTGTCCCACAACACCCGATGAAGCGTTAAGGGGGTTAAGGTGAAGGAAATAACGAATCGAAAGTTCTTTTTCAATGGTTGTGCTTGTCTTCTTCTTTTGACCCTAACACGCAATCAGCTAATAGTTATTCAGTTTTAGTATTTTCACTACATTTGAGTTACACAATCGACCCCCTGCTCACGGATGGAGCAGCATTAGGGCGTTCACTCATACTACTCACGGATAGGCGTCTATCGTGCATCTGATTGGTTCACAGAAATCGTTAATAGCTCGATAATTAGGCGTCCGATCAAAAAATTAAAAAAGAACTTTTATTTCGTTATTTCTTTCATCTTCACCTCCTTAACGCTCCAACAGGTGTTGTGGGACATCCTGTATAAACAAAATAATTGGAATAGGTCACGAAGAAATTAAAAGTATGAGACATCCGACTAAGGGTTTCGGTGCAGATATTTGGCTTTTAGAAAAATGGAAACATTCAGCAGATGCTCCTTATTTTAAACGTATATCGAACAATGTATAGGCGACTAATGTTACCTTCATAGCTTTGTCAGATTAGTTGTACGCATCGGAAAATTCGAGAATCTAAGCAATGAGTCTAGTAATTCAAAATTTTCCAAGTAGTACTAGTATTAGTAGTATTAGGTAAACAGGACAATATCTTTACTATGAATCTTCAGGCATTTTACGAAATGTATATTTATTTAGTATCCGTATGCAAATGAAAATATTTGAGACTGTTTATTGTATTTAGTGAGTTTCTAATATTTCGAGAAAATACACCCTAGTTCGCGGTTTGATCCTCGTGCACTCGCAACACAATAATTATATTAATATATTTATTAATAGAGCATTATTGTGAAGAAAACAGGTCAAACTCAAATCATAGAAGAAACGTTATTTCTTGAAATTTACGATTTTTGCTACAATTTTTTGAAGTGCAATTTTAGCCAAAGTCCATCGTATACACAGTCACATAATTACCCGAAAATCAAAGAGGCAATTTACAGGAGAGCAAACAAAATGGCCGTGCATATGCGGTGTAATTAACACGTAGTTGCGCTTGCGATAATATATTTTTAAATAATTTTCTTTCTTTTCTGTTAAATATGATATACATATTTCTATCATATACACAAAGTATATACTCATATATAAATTTATATGTATACGAATATGCCTGCTCTATGTAAGTATATAATCGATTTTTCTTTATGAATGTTTCTCCAAATTTTTGTGTGGTGATTGAACTTACAATTTAGAATGCTTAATAAGTTACACCTAAAATATTATTACACTTTATTCACTAAATTAACAAAAAGCTCTAAGTCGTAGATTTCCTTCAGGAAAATAATTCAATTGCAACTTATTAAAGACATGAAGGCGTTGAGACTCTCAGTTATAACGCGCACGAAAAGAGTTCATATGAAATATTTAGTGTCCCTTTAATAAACCTACTTTCTTAGATCTAGAGAAAAGTATATCTTTATACCATAGATGTATAAAATAGAATATTACAAACTAAAGTGACATGTCCGATTTTCCTCTCTTATTCATCACACTGGTGATAGGTAGTTCTGCAACAAATGTTAATGATTGCATAGAAAAAAATTAATAATGATTTTATTTAGCGGTTACAGAGAAAACCATTAGTTACCTCTGTTTATCCATATTTCGTCTAGACAATCGCCTACCACACTCAGGGGTGGTCAATGTGTATCTTTTTGTGTGTGCAGGATTTGTTCGTAGTTCGCGTTGGTCTGCTATTTTCGCCTTTTCCACCTTATCCATAAATTTAGCAATTAATTCAGGACAATTGAGATTTTCTTCTGGTTCCCAAGAGTCATCTCCACTTGAAAAACCTTTCCAACGAATAAGGAATTCCCGTGTTTTGTTCTTTTTAAAATATACATCAATTATTTTTTCAACCTCGAACTCCTTTCCTTCATTCTTGTCAGGGTCCGATACAGATTTATCTGTATCTAAAATGCAAAGAATACATTTATAATGTCTTATGACACTTATGGTTAGCATAATTCAAAGAACGTTACCAATTCCCCCATTTTTATTTTTTGACTTTCGGTCTGATTTTGACGCTTTAGTCTTCTCAGTCTTTTGCCTTCTCTTGGGTGGTTCCGAAATAGATTCATTCTCTTCATTCTCTGAAAGGAATTGCTCTATTAAATCAGAACAATTGAGATCCTTTTCCTGTTCCCAAGTATCCGAGTCTTCGTCATATCCTTTCCATCTTACTAGAAATTGTCGTCGTCCTTTAATAGTGCGATAAGAGACGATCTTCTCGACCTATGTAAACAATTAAAAAGAATGCGCATAATTAATTAAACAAACATTACTGATAATTAGGCTATCAATTTCCATATCCTTATATCAATGGTTAAAGCATCATAGTATACAGAATACACTTAATCACAAGACTAATAACTTTAATATTCACACACCTCATATTCCTTTTCTTCAGAAGGTTGATCTTTTGATGTAGATGCTTTAGCGTCTTCCTTTTTACGTTTTTTTGTTCCAGCTCCAGGTTTTCCCGCGCTTCCATTTTCGTGTTGCTCTTCGTTTTCTTTTGCCTCATCCTCCTTCAACAATGCTGGCTCTTTATCAATATTCCTTCTACCGCGTTTACCACTATCACTAGTTGCCCCGGGTGTTCCGATTGCATTTTCAGAACGGCCTCTACCCTTCTTGAGTACTTCACTAAGTGCTCGATCTTCGTCAGTATTATCTGATATTTCATTTCTAATGGGATTATTTATCGTCGTTGACACTGCTTCTGCGACGCCATTTTCCTCCGATTCGCTGCTGCTTGTCTCGAACCTGCCTCGCTTACCCTTCATACTCAATCTTCGCATTCTTGCTGCACCTAATACAAATCCCTGATTAATTTGCCTTCAAATGCGATATGCGATATTAATGATTCTAATGACGATAATGATGTCAGCGTTGTAGATCTGTTAAAGATACGTATATCGACTGAATCAACACTATCGCGTCCCACTCCGTGCTCGAAAGAGCAGCCCCCGGAAGAGACTCCTATGGACAATCTCACACTGACTGCACTGCATTATCCCGCCAATACCAATGTACAACATATATAGTGAAAACAATACATTTCTACGTCTTTTTATTATTATTATTATTAACCTTGTAAAAGTGTCGAAATCAAGATAATATAGTCTAAATCCAAATTAACATTCTTACTTCTTGAAATTTACCTGTCGAATGAAAACTTGTATACTCCCTAGTCTTTTCGTCTTTTTAGATTTTCTTCGAAAAGCAATTCAGGGTGCTGTCCACTGCATATACGATCCGGCTAGGATTAAACACTGTGATTGATACAGTACCTCAACCGCGCGCGCAGCGCATTTACGCTGCATGTGTGTTTTGTCCCAAGCTTCGTGACTTCAGAATAGTTGCCAGTTGTGCGCAACAGTGAGGCCGCGCGAGGCTCCTCCACCAATCGAATAATGTTTACTTCAATGATTGCATCTCCGGAAGGGGTATATCGTTGTACGATTCAACAGAATAACTGTGAACCATTATCTTCGTTTCCCTTTATTCTTTTTTTTTGTTGCTGATTTCAGTTACTTATGCAAATATGAAGAATTGAGAATCCTTTTCAATTATAGGATGAACTCCTTTGAGCTGGAATGATTTTTGGGTATTTTATAAGACCTACGCATCTTTGATGATTTCCCCCAGTTATACTATCCATTAGTCAGTGTGACAGTCTTCCATATGCACAAGATATATTATTATAAATGGAAGAATTGTTGGAGAATTCTTAATAAGCGGTATTTTTCACATTCACAATACTTATAAGACTTTCTAAAAATCTACAGTAAAAAAATATAACAATCATTCTGCGACCGTGTACGGTTCAAGAGTTGGTTTCACTTAAGTTAATTGAGATTTAACTGTTGAGATCAGCTAATCAGATTCGGAATGTTCGAAAATACAGGCACCTGATTGAAGCACCTTAAGGTTAGATTTTCAAACAGGCGCTAGCGCTCGAACGCGGTACTTTGATTAGTGGATATTAGGTGATGGGAGAAAAATTATCATTTTATACTAACCAAAAACCTACGTCCGAGTATTGGCGCCTGTAAGAGGATCCAGCCTAAAAGACCTTGTACATTTTTATGCTCCAAAACACCTACTAAAGGATTAAATAATATGGTTGCCGTAGCAACGGTTGTTAAGTATGTACGGCCATCTTATGGGTTGTTAACCCTGGTTTCCCGACTTCCTGAATTTTCAGATATTTAGTACTCCTTCGTTTGGCGTGACTTTCGATTCAGTTAGAAACGGTTTTACAATTAAAGAAAATCATGGCAAAATCCGTTACAACGTACGAAAAACCCACACCGCACATCGGTAAGTGACGTAATTAACACGTCAGATAGTGTACAAAAGATTAAAAAACATGCAATACTTAATAACATATTATATTTGATCAGGATTACCCGACTGGTATGCTAAGCAATGGGAATTACGTCAAAGCGCCGACACTCGTAGATCAGAAGCTTTCGAGTTACGCAGCTCTAGCAGGATCATCCGGTCAGAAACAAAAATTAAAACAGAATGGGATACTTATATGAACAATACAAGAATTGCCGATAGGTATTTGAAAAAAGGAACAGAGTTTTAAGTCCCTTTTCCAAAATTATATATCGTTATATATTTACCGATAGATTAACCGAACTTTCTCGTTGGCGAGAACTCCTGGAGAGTCAATTGGAAAGGATTGAAAACGAAATAAAACTTCTAAAAGACGAGCGAGCTGACACTGAAAAGGAACTTGAGGGTCTCAATCTACCTCTTCAAATAACTGCTGAGTGTATTTCTACTAGAGACTGTCGTCGGGGCACCGAGTTGACCTATGACGATGGCGATACTGAATTGAAAAAGGAGCTTTGCGTCCTAGAGGGAGTCAAGAAACTTTTAACTAATAGGTGAAGACGAGGAACAAGCCATAGCATACAGGGTGGACCACGGAGCGTGATCAGTAGAGATTACTTTGTTATTAGCAGTCCGATCGAAAATGTTTTTATCACCTTTTGCATGGTTCCAAGAGAGCTTTAACGTGATAGTGAAAAATTACTGGTCAACTATTTTTTTAAAGGTTTTTTCAAGGTTACCTTGAATTTTTTGCAACTGAACATATAATTTTTTTACGCCTGTCTGTTAGAGGATTTCAAGACGAATCCGGCACATGTAAGGACATGACATTTTTTTCATCTGGTTCAAAAGAAAATTAAAAAACTAAATACTCCTTATCACAAGGAGAATCACAGCTACACCGTTATACGCGTCCGTTCTGTCGTCTTCAGTCGCCATCAGTGTAGAGGAGAGGCCATAAAGAATGCAAAACAATCTTTTGTTCACCGTCTACGCGAGTGCATTGCAGCTCGTGGACACCATTTTGAACATCGCTACAATTAAGATTCGTAAATTTTGACTTGTCAACAACATTGGTTGCGTAATAACAGCGTAGCTGTGATTCTCCTTGTGATACAAAGTTTTTTAATTTTCTTTCGAACGGGATGAAAAAAATGCCATGTCCTTACATGTGCCGAATTCGTCTTGAAATCCTCTAACAGACAGGCGTAAAAAAATTATATGTTCAGTTGCAAAAAATTCAAGGTAACCTTGAAAAAACATTTAAAAAAAGAGTTGACCAGTAATTTTTCACTATCACGTTAAAGCTCTCTTGAAACCATGCAAAAGCTGATAAAAACATTTTCGATCGGACTGCTAATAACAAAGTAACCTCTACTGATCACGCTCCGTCGTCCACCCTGTATAATAGATGCTTTAACAATCAACCGTTAACCGTTAACCGTTAACACTTACAGAATTCAGGCTGCTTGGGAGAAGCTCAATCGTTTGGAGGAGGTAAAATTCAAAATTGATCTGGAGCTACAGGATAAGGTGGAGAGTATAAATATCGATCAAGAGAATCTTCGATTAGATCGCACTTGTGCTAATATCAGTTATAAGATGGATTCGCTCAGAATACCAAAAAAGTGAGAATCTTTTACGCCGCTTTCGTTCTGAACCTCTTCTTCAGTGTTCTTGATCTTTTTTTTTTGTTCAATTCAGTTCTGTTTCTTATGAATCCTGGCTTGAACATTGTCAATTCACGAAACTTCTTGCTGACAATGAGATGAGCGATACGTACAGTTTTCGCGAAGCATTGCACGTTACCAGGGAACGCGCCAGGAACGACATCAAAGCTCAGCAGGACGTTACAGACTTTGCGCTGAGGAAGAGGATATATCAGACCCAAAAGGCCAGAAATGAGCTGGAATGGCAAAAAATGAAGGTAAAAGATCAAAGAACATGGAGGCAAATTAAGATATAAAAAAAATATGGTCAGTGCAGATGCAACGCGAGATGGATATACTACTAAAGGAATTAGCTAGATTGGATGATGCTCTTCAGAGTAAGACCGATGCTGTAAAGTGTGCAGAAACCAGGTTGGAAAATCGTACCTATCGTCCTGGATTTGAATTATGTCGCGATGAGGTCGATCTGGGATTGAAAGATGAGGTCTTGCAATTGAGGCAGACCAAGGAGGATCTTATTGCCAAGATTAATAGCGCAAAGTAAGTAGCATAATAGTTCGATTATTTCGATTGGTATTTCTAATAATTATTATTTATAAAATCACAATAGGGCTACCTACAACGGCTTGGAATTTCTATTGATTCGCATTGATAAAAACCTGCAGGACAAACAGCATTCCTTAATGACCGACGTCATGTGCCTAGACCTTCGTGCCAGATTGAAAACTGGTGACAGATCACGATTGGCGAATGAAACTGATCGCAATATTGTACTCACCAAAATGGAGCAGGAAGTGCCGCCTGAGTCTTAATTAATTGTGCCCGCAAGTATAGTAATTGTGTAGTCTGAGTGAAATCCAAGAATAGTTGGTAGTAGTGAAAAAAAAGGTTTTTAGCAGCGTAACAATGTGTACAAGGATTATTAGTATCATATTTACGAAGTGGACACAGTGGATTCCATTGAGTTTTCAGCTTTAGCTTTCAATAAACTGAACTGTGTCACAAATTTTTCTGCTAAGGAAGAGTCCAAACTTTTAACAGCCCTTCTGTGAATTTCCGCTACTCTTTTTGGATCACCATGATTCATTTCAAAATTGATGTAATCCATCCAGACATCTGTGTGACTCTTGCCAAATTGCAACGTCGCCATTTCATGTGGTCTGCGTGCATTTTTCAAGGAGATTTCCGGCTGCATTAGTTCCATTGCTGCCATTTTCTTATGTAATTCTAAACAAGATGGCGGTTGGAGACAAAGATTGTCATAGACCTGTCTTGCTGTCTGTATGTCTGAAAACAAAAGAGTATTGTTTAAACTCATCGAATGATAATGATCTGGTTCCTTAACGTTTTTCTTAACATTTGTTTCCTTACTTTTGGTCAAAACCAACCATTCGACGTATGTGGGTTTCATGTCTCTAGCAATGGCTGGTTCTCCCTGCATTGCTGCTTGGAAAACTTCCTCAGTTTTCTCAGGACTCTTTGCCTGTACATGCAACAATTTCATTCTCCACAATGGTAAAGCTTTCTCTCTAAGAATTTTAGTAGCCTGAATAATACATTATACATTAGATAAAATCAAATAATTTAAAATGATTATGAAAAATGAATTTAAGACCTTAGCAAATACTGTAGCTACATTATCGTCTTCTCCTAATATCACGTGATAACGTAACCTTGCCTGCCAAAGATTGACACTATTCGGCAAAGCCTCTGTCGCCCAAGTGAGAACTTCAAGTAATTTCTTCTGAGTATTCTCGTCTTTCTTCTCATTGTTCAACATGTTGATCTGAAAGCCATTGTGATTTTAAAAAACGTTCAACTGGAATCAGCCGAAAATGAGATTGGAACTTTACAGGGTAATATGCTTAACGTACCCATTGCAGATAATATTTTTCGCGAAGCTTTTTTGCTTGGTGAGCTTGACTGAGCGCATTACGTAAGAGCTTTTTCTTGAAATTTGGCAAAGATCCGGTGTCATGATTGATTTCCAGTATACATTCAATATAGAGGGACCACATTTCTTCAGTTTTTATTTTTTTCACGGCTGTTTGGTAAACCTCATTACAAAGACTTATGCGATCCCGCAAAGAACTCTGTTCAGAACTGTCAACTTCCATAGTACTAGAAGGCTGGACTAAACCTTTCAGCTCTCTCTTGGCCATTGTATCCCACATGAGAGGTTCGTGTGCGTATTCTTGCACCATGTCGCTAAGAAATTTGTTGAGTCAGATAAGATATTTGTATTTGGGAAAGCCTGCAATTTTCATGCATTACCAAGTACTGACCTAACAATTTTATTCTGTAACTTCTCGGTATTCTTGTATTCTTTAGTGATATCTAAGAGCTCTATGATGAACTTTATGTCTTTGATACGCTTGAAAGCTTGCAGATATATTACATTAGCACGTTTAAGCTCATCTGGCATTGTATCCTCCCCGGTTGCCACTGTGTCTGATTTCTCATCCTTCATTTCAGAGTCGCCTACTTTTGATAACGCTTCGTCTAATTCGAGCCTAAATTTTTTAAATTGTCTCATTTATTGACCCCGCTGTAAAATGGATTCTTCACTTTTGCAATTTTATTACGTTACCGAAATGAATCCGCGTATAATAATCGGGAATCTGGATGTATGTGCAATCCTCGTAAAAGGTACTGCCGTGCGTTTTGAATATTTTGATTCTCTTCAATTTCCCATCGTGCAGCAATATGCCAACATTTTGGCTTGTCTTGATGCACTTGTAACATTCTGCCAATCATGCGACTTGTGGAACTATGAAAGCGCTGCCAATCATTAATGACTTACTATATCGCATTTATTTTCATAATTCTTATTATATAGTCGATATATAATTTCTAATGTAACTTACCATGTGTTTGCAAAACTTCATATAGGCAATCCAAAATCGCACATCGTCCTGAAACTTATGTATTGCTTGCGTATAAAGCTGATTCACTTTATTGGCGATTGCGTAATCGATGTCAGATTTCTTTTGGCCGATTCCCAATTTCTATAAAATATTCGAGAATTTGTTCGTTTTAATGGAAATCTCTTACAACATTTTTGAACACTGTTATAAGAGACTTAAATTAATTTAACTTTATTACCGTCATCTCGAGGTTAATAAAAAAAAATATTCAATTAATTCAAGTCTTATCATCAACTGAAAACAATTTAGATAATGAAAAGATTATTTAACATCAGAAAAACATCATAGGATAATAGTTTTTGTTATTTACAAGACGCAAAATTAATATGAGAATGAATACATACAGTGGGTCGGAGAAGTCATACCCTATTAATGATTATAATATGACTTGATATTCTACAATTTATTAGAAATACACTAGCTTAATTATCATCATATTTTTATAGACATATAATGAAGAAATATTGCAAATTTAACCACACTCAAGTGACGGATATCAGAGACATTAATTATTTGTTGCAGTACTGTATGAAAATTGCTCCACAAAAGACTGCACTATTTCAGTTTACCCTTTGAATTGCTCAATAGTACTATGTTATTATTCTCTCTCTTGTATTTAAGTCTGAATATTTGCAAAGTACGTCATGTATTATATGGTATTAATTGTTTTATGATATGGGTAGCATTTCTCGGATTATTGTCTTATTAGAAATAATAATTGTTTTTTACTCCTAATATTGTTGCCCTAAGTTTTAAATATTATTTTTCAGTTTTAAATCTGATAAAACATATTTGTGTGAAGATTAGACAAATATTATGATATATTGAGATACGATTAATAGAATCTTGCATTCAGCAACATATAAATATCTAAGTTATAGAAGTTAGTAAGAAGTAAATCCAAAGTATTGGAGACAGTTTAAATACTGTTTTAACAGCCCAAAGGTGGACGAACAAAATATTGATACTGTTGAATAAATAATATAATTTTATAAATCGAATTATTATACTTATTGATACATAGGGTTTGAACTGTTTTGTGACTCACTGTATGCAGACAATAATTCTAAATAATAATTAAGAAATATCTACATCACGACGTTGTCGAACGAGCTTCAGTAAATCCATTTCATATTGTATGTAACGTAGGTAATCCTCCTTGCACTTTGTATGCCTTTGTATTTTGTACTCATATTCCTTCCGTTTTTTTGCTATTCCTCTGGGTGAAATAAATTCGTAATAATTAGAAGGATAGTGCAAACGGTGTGAATTAATATGGTTTAGAAAAAGGGACTATATAAACATCGAAAAATTATTTTGAGGTTATGTATATACTTACCGAATCTCATTTTTATCGAAGAGCTTTATCCTCTCCATTTGTTCTAATTCAGGTATCATATCCTCACATCGTTTCTCTACGAATTCCGCCATTTCGTATTTCTTTATTCACAGGACACAATTATTTTCTTAATTCTGCTCCTCACTTAATGCTACCTACTCTGGTCAGCTCAACTCCCATGTGGGGATTCTATCCCATGTATAGAAGACAGAACAAGAACGACGCAATCGAAAAAATAGTTTGGCGGGGATTGACCAATCATCTTGGTTCCGAAAATGTGAAACCGATGCCCGATTTCCCATGTACCATGTGTTTCAGAACACGGGCAGAAATTTTAATCTTAAAATTTTGATAAATTTTACGAATTCCAAATCTTCGCATTTCAATCTATGCAATCTTACAGATAATTAACATTTAATGATTTTTCTAACAATATGTGTCCTTGTTATTGATTTTAATGAACAAAAATTGATTTTTACACTTTACGAATTACCGTTTTTTCTTCTACATGGGGAACCGGGCATTGTTTGACATTTTCGGAACGAAGATGATGGTTAATCTCCACCAAACTATTTTTCTGATTCCGTCGTTCCTGTTCTGTCATCTATGCATGGATAGCACCAGATAGCACCCTTAGTTGCCAGCATTTGCCAGTAGTGAGAACGTAAGTTGTTTCCCAGTGCTTTTCGTGATTATGTTTTTCACTGAATTCCTATAAATTCCATGTGAATGATCAAAGAATTATAATATATAACAGGTATCTTGCTTTTTCGAATAATTTTTTTTCAATCTTTTAATACTTGCAATAGATAAAATATTCTTTTCTGATATACAACATATGTATTAACAATAAACTGGTTTGGCAATTCCATGGGAATTCAAATGCAAACATAACCTTAAAGTCTTTACACTTTCTTCGACAAGAATACTTTTTAATAAGACATTTAAATTGTCAAAAAAGTTGTAAACTAATTTCCATTTGACAGTTCGCAGACAATGTAATCCTTAGCGAATAGATGTGGTTATTCAATAAAATAACATACATGCTGAACTATAAAAATTAAATGTTTTTGTTGCAAACCATCATTATGCATACTTTGTGATTAATATTTTATGTCGTAACACGTTTTGCTTCCTAGAGACATTTAAAGTGCATAGTTGCATTATGTTTATTCACACGCAAATCCCAAATCTAAGCATCCATTTTAATATACAGTAAAACTTCGATTATATGAACAGTTTGCGAAATTTAGCTCTTTTGGATTTTTACTTTGTAAATATCACATATGTTCGTTCGTCCTGTAAGAAAATTTCTCCCTGCCAATGATTTTTGCAAAGCTAATGAATGGTTTTCCATTGATTTATCATACGTATTCGATTATATAACCATATAAGTCCCTTAATTAACTCGGATAATCGATGTTTTACTGTAGATGCAAATGAAACATCCAGTGAAAAGCGCCATTTATCAAAATGGGTGGTGTTATTTAAAATACACGTGCATAGTAATAAATGCTTAAATATTATTGAATTATATATCCGCTTATTTTATAATGATTGTGATAGCATATCCACGCTGAAAAAAATCCATTAATAAAAGGAAAAACAGAATCCATAACAAATTCCATTTATTTAAAAGGTTAATGAATTCTTCTCTTACCATTATAATTTTCCTGAATTGACAGTATTCATACAACAACCTGGGTAATATTACCTTTGGAGTGTGCTGTAAATCATCTTTCGCTCAAACTGAAAATTATTCGAGATTTCTAAACGCAACTAGGCAAAATAATGAAAAAACATGCGTCAAATTCGGAAGGAGGTTCCAAGGGAAAAAGACCTCACTGGTCTATGGGTCTATTGAATTGTATGGCAGATCCGAAAATGAAAGTTAAGGAAGACGATCTCATAGTAGCTATTACGGATGGTTATCCAAAAGCACATTATCATTATTTAATCCTCCCCAAAGAAGACATAAACACGATATATGATTTGAAAAGAGAACACGAGGACCTCCTCACTCACATGGAAAATATCGCCGAGGATCTGATCAAGAATCATCCAGATCACGAATTCAAGTAATTACAGAAAAGAATCCTTAATCATTGTTTACAAATGGAAAATCTATATTAATATTAATTTGTTTCAAATTGTACCAGATTCGGTTACCATGCTAAGCCCAGTATGCAGAGGCTTCATCTTCATGTAATAAGTTTGGATTTCGACAGTCCTTATTTAAAAACAAAACATCATTGGAATTCCTTTACCACTGACATTTTCTGTCCTGCAAAAGGTATTTTAATATCAATAGACTGTAACTAAATAAAATATCTTTCGAAGCGTATTCCAGGAATTCATTCAAGCAAAATAATTTTTACAGAAGTTCACGAGGAATTGCGACGCAATGGATTCGTAAAGAGGATGACCGTAGAAGAGTACCAGAAATTGCTTAACACTGAATTGAAGTGTCATAAATGTTCAGAGAGATCGAAAAATATGCCAGGATTGAAGAGGCATCTTCGTAGTCACATATCGAGTAAAGATTGAGTCGAAGTTTTGAGTCGTGTCGATGATGTCATCCGATTACATATTGTAAAAGCAGGTATCAGGTAGTGGGACAAGATGAAAGATATGGGTATAAATAACGTAAACATGAGTAATGCGATATTTCGGAAATTTTACTATAAATAAATTTGATGTTAATGTTAATAGGTTTTCTTCTTTATAATCTATGGTAATTACGTACTAACTATTTACAGAGTCTTCTTATTTTCAAGGGCCCGTCTGTCTGTCACTGCCTATGGTTCTTGGTTTGTGGTGATGTGTCAGTGTGTTTATTTATGTAATGTGTGATAGTAGTATGTACTACGTATATTTAGTAATACTGCGATTAATAGTTATAAGTGTATTCTTCGTCGTCTTCGCGAAACGATAGGCAACTGCGTTAGTTAAATCATATCCATCGTCTTTATCATACAGAAACGCATAAACGTGCACATAGAGTATATTGGAATAAGAATATACAATATATGTACGTAAATTTACAGGATGCCTAGACGCATGTATCTGTCTCTCGCGTCTTCTATAATTTTAATTACTGTATAAGTGAGAAAGATCCACGATTAAACATTTTTTTTTTCCTTTCAAGAATTTCTATCAGTGGACCTTTCACGTTAATTTTCCTATACATCCATGCCTTCCCTTTTGTATCTCACCGTTAAGTATTTTTCACTTTGCACTCCAATAAACGTCTTCTAGTATGTTATAAATAATTGGCTAATCTCGGCGCAAGACACGACAATTTTCGTTCCTGCACTGTAACTATTTTCTTCTATCTCACTCGCTCACTCGCTCATCTCTTTCTCCCTGGTATCTGGCAAATAACCAGAAATCTCTTGAGACTTTCTAAACTCGAGCATAGGGTTGAAAGTTTGCGAGGATCTACATAAAACGTAGATCGGCCAAAGTTTCTCACCTTTACCCGAGGGAAATGCATGAGGTACGAGAGAGGGAGAAAGGACGCAAGAGAGTGAAGAGCGAGAGAGAATATATGGCTCTCTTTGTAGCATCCTTTACTCTTACAAACTACAACGGAACAAAACACGCGAAAGAATGGAACAAACGAGAACCAAGCAAAGAGAAAAATACAATTGAACCCTGGTAACGCTTACAAGATATCTTCGAGTCTATGATAGCGTAAGGATGTCCTCTCTTATTTTTTATATCAAAATTAATTATAAATATTTTTTTCTAACTACTGCGGCATCTCCGCTCGTTCCGTACGTAGCCCACCAAAAGCGGTCATTTTGGCAAAGCCACTGGGTCCGAGGACAACCGACTGATCCCAGGCAAAGATAAAGGAAGAATAAAAAGACAAAAGCTGTAGGACGGATAAGATCAAAGAGAAGTAAGGAACTATAAGGGCACACTGGAATCCGCCGATTATTTCGAAGTACACGCAGTGTAGGACGTCCCCACGCTATGCATTGCCTTTTGAATCTCTCGCAATCATTTTAAAGATAAATACCCTGTTTAAGTCTGTTGCTGTATATGCTTCCCAAACAGAATCTTAGATAACAAGAGGCCGATCGGTTTGCAAAATTTTGCCGAAAGACTAGTCGCCCGCCATTTATTTTCCAAATTTATTTACCCCCCTCCCCCTCCCCCCAAATCCCACAGTCAGTACGTGTTACTTGTCTCCGTAATGCGCACGTGTCTCACGCACTGACCATTTTCGTATAACCGCGTGTGTCAGAATTAACCTAGCAATACTAAGAGCTACAAACATTTATACAATATTGTTTACCTATCTAACTAATATTCACAATTCATAAATATATATTTATACATGTATTCATGTACATAAGTATCTAACGCCTATATATAGGTAATGTACAGATAATGTACAGAATGGCGACGGGCGACTTTTTCTCGAAAGAAAAAAAAAGAACTTTAATTTCTATCTCCTGCAACGCTCTACGTCGCGCCTCACCTTTCTTTGCTCCTACATTTCTTTCAACCCCTATTAAAGTACACTTTCTATATTTACAGTAGAGGGTGAAGCGCGCATTCTTCTTCTATCCCGATTCTATATATGCGTCTTTATACATCTTCACGTACCTGCTAATAAATTCGTAACGTAACGAGTGACAGATTACACGCGCCAATTGGTATTACGGGTATTGGTAAATAGTCGCAGTGCTGGTAGCATTCTACTAATTATAATCAATCTAGATTCATCTATATTCTCTGTATCATCTCGTCTTTCTAGTAAATAGAGAAAAATACAGAAAACAAAAGAAAGAGAAGAACACTTGCATTGCTTACGTCGCATACGTTTCATCATACACACAGACTCACTCTCTCTCTCTCACTCACTTTCCTTCCCTTTCTCTCATAACCCATTCATACTCTTATATATATATATATTCTCTCTCTCTCTTATACAATTCAGTCTCACTTACTTTCATGCGCTCTAGAGATGATTCTCTCATGGTTTGAGGCAACGAACTAATGAAATAAATAGCGTCTCGTTAAATTGATATAAGTTAAGTGAACGAACAATAGAACAAAAGGAACGATCGATACTTTGATCGAATAAATTAAGTTAAAGAAACAAACAAACAACAAACGTACATCAATGAGTTTGAATTTGCTCAGTGAGAAAACAGAACAGTGAATAATTGAACGAACTACGCATAATTCTCGAAAGACATTTTTTTGCGCATTCACAACACATTCGCACATGTCAAACACAGTACATTAATTTATCGGCTATTTATCGTTACAATTTCGCATACTGTATGCTATAGTGTGTCAAGTCTTTTCCAGGGTTAAAAGCTACCCTTCGGCTTTCAACACCCTATATATATATTGTATATATCGTATTTACTGTATTACTTTGACGTCTCGCACTTTTGAAACTCGCTCTCCTATATAGTCACTGCCGATTTTATTTACCCTTTCATATCTTAGTCCGATCATTGTTCGCGAAATCGGCTTCTTTTCTTATTCGTCAGAATCACTTTAATTTATCGTTTAATCTTCTTTCGTCTTCCGACAGATTTGGCGAGAGGCACGTGCCACGCGAGCTCAATGAAGAGAAAAGAATAAAGAGAGAAAAGCGGCGCAAGGTCTAAAGGGCAAATAACGATGGCGAATGGTTGAAGAGAATAGAGAAATGGCGCACGATTGATTAGTAAAGGAAAATTTTACGTATGTATACGAAATTTCAATAATTATATATAAATATGTACAAGAGGCTTGTTATTAAAGGCAAGCAAGATTCTTATATATGTTTACGCGCTACTATGTACAGGGGGTTGAAATTTCATTTGGTGAATTGGCAAATGGAAATCTCATTTGAAAATGAGAAATTGAATGACGTCAAATTAAAATTGCTAATGCTTGTCCGCCGTATTGTTTCCTTATGAGGATTCTCTGTGATTTCTCCTTTCTCTTCGACCTTCACCCTCTAAGTTATGATGCTTCTCGCACGTTTGCAAAACACTTTTTTTAAGCTACAAATTGACCCTACATCATCTAACTATTGATCTTATTACGTGCTCGGTTGTCAAACGTGAAAAACAAGTACCGTACTTCTTAACATCTTGTTACTCGTTAAGAAGTCCTACCCATTGCCCTTTTCATTAATCATTCCTTTTTGACTCTTTTTTCTTTTCCCTTCTCTCTGCTTCTTTCCTAATGTCCTAGTCTCGAAATGTGCCTTTTGGATGGACCATTGAAGTATTCTAAAATTTTCCTAAGTCCATCCGCCAAGGTTCCTTGCGCGCTCATATTTAATCTTCTTCTGTGATTTCAAGACGTTAATTATATTAATTTGTTAGCTAAGAAAATACGATTTCCTTTTTAAGAGGACATCACTCGCGAAACTCTCAAGTCTTTTAAAAGTTCTGAGATTTCTTTGTTTCATTCAAATGTTTTCTTTCGACATTTTTCACTCTGTTTCACTTTGATTCTTCTCTTTAACTCTTCTTGCTGTGTATACCGCCCTCACTTGTTCTCGGTAATACCTCTTATCTCTTTCTCTCTCCCGGTAGATCCTTGTTTTAGTATGTGCTTTTAATGGTGTTTACGACTCCTGGTATCCGTAACAATGTACTCTCATCTCCTCGATTGCTCGACACCACTCCAGGGCAAATCCTTCGGGATCCTCTAGGTAGTAAGTCCTGTTCGGCTGTAAACAGATAAGACAGACAATTGTAATGTAGCTCTTCAAAGTATTCATACTGCTCATTAATTCATACTGCTAGTCTTAAGAATTGTAACGTGCATTGATATGAAAGACTTACCGTGTGCACAAAGAAGATCTTAAAGTTCTTGGGTTCCACCCTGAGTTCAGGACTCCAAGGTATTTCACCCTTGAGCACCATGTTCACAGGATCAACATAATAGAGGTGCGGTCCAGTGGTAAGGAGGAGCATCCTTCTCCTAGCGAAAAGACCTTTTCGCTTATTGACGAAATTCTGTTTGACTATCAAGTTACCCTCTACGAAGCTGTCCCATGGATTACTTGCTCTCTGCTTTTCGAGCCTTTTTCTAATCTCCTCCTCCGTCAGATCGGCAATTCCACACCTCTTTCTTCTCGACGTTTTCTCGACGACGGTTGTTACAGGTTCGGCTTTCTTCTTCTTCGTTCTTGACTTCGTTTTCTTTTCCTTAGATTGTTCTTCCTCGCCAGCTACTGGCACCTGCTTCTCCTCTTCTCCTTCTTCAACTTCCTCTGCTTCATCCTCTTCGGTCTCTTCCTCTTCGCCGATGCCCAAACCCAGAAGCCGCGTGAGCTGCTTATCGTCGAGACCAGGTTCCAGGTGATCAGGAACCCTGTACTGTGATCTGAGCTCCTCGTGCTCCGAGGTGCCAGGTAAATAAGGGTAGATTGGCGGTGGCGTCTGTTCGTGCAATGTCTCAAAGTCCATGCCCTTAAAGAAGTCATGCGCTCTGATACTAGGATAACCCGCACCGTGCTCATCAAGGGCACCTAACCTCTCCGTGGGCTCAAGGACAAGTAACTGGCTAACCAGTGATCGTGCAAGATCGCAAAAACCATCTGGGATCTCGTACTCGAGCTTCATGATCTTTTGGAAGATCATGTACTCGCTCCGCGATCGGAACGGTGGTAGACCGGCGACCATCTGGTAAACAATGCATCCAAGGGCCCACAAATCTGAGGCTCTGCTGGCGGTTTTGTCAGTTAACAATTCGGGGGACACATACTGTGCCGTGCCGACGAAGGAGTTTCGTCGCTCCCGCTTGTACTCTCTTTGTCTTTGATGTTGCTGTTGTTGGGAATCCTGCTGTTCCTCCGTATGTTGTTCATTCTCGGAGGCACTCAGCTTCTCCGGATCGTCCTTGAGGATCTTGGCACTACCGAAGTCCGTAATGAGAACATGCATTTTCTCGTCTAGGAGAATGTTCTCGGGTTTGAGATCCCGGTGGATGATCCCAAGACCATGAAGGTACTCGAGACCGCGCAGAATCTCAGCCGAGTAGAATTTCGTGCACTCGATGTCGAAGCTGCCCACCTTGTTGATATACGGTAGCAGCTCACCGTTCTTCGCATAGGAAAGCACGAAGTAGAGTCTGTCCAGGTCCTGAAAGGTGCAGAACAACCGGACGAAGCTGTGCTTCGCACCAGCCAGCATGTTCAGCACTTCTTTCTCCCGCTTCACATATTCCGTCTTCCTCTCCTTGATGATGTGCCGCTTGTCACACACCTTGATGGCGTATTCCTTGTTCGTGTGGATGTCCTTGGCTAGGTAGACCTGCGTGACACGCAATGATGGATTGATTTTTATTCAATCGTTCTTTTTTTTTCGTATCATTGATCAAACGTCAGACTGATGCAAAATAACAAAATGATACCCACGGTCGAGAAACTGCCCTCGCCGATGACTTTGCCGAATATAAAGTCCTTGGGGTTGCGTTTGTGTGTCGGTAGGTTGATGCCGAGGGCCGGGTTGATGGTGTTGACCCGGGGCGCCAGGGTATTGGGCGGCGCCACCACCCCATTGGTCACGTCGTTCGTTGGTGGAGACATTTTTGACACCGGCCCCTCCACCGTAACTGCCGGCTGTGGCGAAACGGTAAGCGCCTGGTTCGCCACACGCTGTAACAACAAGAGACATTACTGCATTACAACTGTCGTCATGATAGTTATTCAAATATTTATTTCAGATATGGCCCCCCGACGCATTGCTCATGGATAAACAGCAGCTATGAATTTCTGTTCAACTGCTACCAAGAAATCGGTTCGGGAAGGTAACGCTACTCCAGAGAGCAGACTACGTGTGGTGGACTCGGCACAGCCAGGTCTGTGACGTTATGCACCACATCAGTGCGAAGAGGAGGAAGAAGATAAACAAACAGAAAGAAATCTGGAGATGTATCGGTACGCTTGGTACACCTAAAGGTATACTTGGTACACCACCACCAGGTCAATCGTCGAATCAAACAAATATTTGACCAATTGCAATCTTCCGGCACGACGACGTCATCTTCTCTCGCTGCCATTCTCGGCTCCGGAGAAGACCGAAGAAGGTTAGGCGGAGAACTCTCCTTTGTCCTCTCCCTCTTGCCATTTCCGATGCCGTGCAGTCGGCAGATTACGCACTTCCGTTCTCTAACGAGCACAGAACGAGCTAACGCGTGCACGAGTAGCTTCTCTCTCTCTCTCTCTCTCTCTCTCTCTCTCTCTCTCTCTCTCTCTCTCTCTCT